TGGATACAAAATGTTTTCATTCAACATACACATCCAGGGTGATCACATGCCTGCTTTCCAGCAGCCATTGTCAGGGACATGGGAAAGGTGAAGGACACATTCCTGATCTTGGGGGAACGGATTTGACTATGCATATATTATTTGACATAAATTCAGTGTTTATTCATCCCATAAAAACTTGGAACTAAGCTCCCATTGAAAGCCATCGTGTTTCAGTTCTGCCTGGGGGAAGAACTGACTGAGCTGGGTACTTGTGGAGGTGGGAATCAGGGGTGTGGACAGGGGAGCAGGGTGACTATTGCTGAAGCCAAGCAAGTGGGTTGAAGTGTCTGACTATGTGTTGCCTTTGGGAAGACAGCACCAGGTCCCCCGGGGAACCTGAAAGGTATTTGAGAAGATTCATTTAAGGTCATGGCCATGTAAGTGCCATGTAAAAGGAAACAGGACCCTACAATGAAAGTTTCTTGACTCCTTAAGGTCATGCTAGGAGATGACTTCAGGATACTCAATGGGGAATGCAGCATCTCTGCTCACCCAGGGATGCCAAAAGGGACACTGCAACCTGAAGAACCCCAGGAAGAGGAAGTTCCAGGGAAGAAGGCCAGGACATCTGAAGGCAACTTACAAATAAATTCAGAGACAGTTGTGAAGGAGAGGGAATGGCCACTTGTATCCAAACTTCTTGGGTGGACTGAGGTGTTCCCAGTGATCTCACCAGACTGTGAATGGAATCGTCTGCATGGGAAGACTGATTTCTCTGCATCCCCCAAAGGCTGGACACAGATGAAAGGTACATTGTCCAAATAGATGGGACAAAGGGACCCAAGTCTAGCTCTCTTGCAAAGGACTGTGGCCTGTGACCTGAAGCCAGCAGGGCACTAGAGGGGACGCTGTGGAGAGCTTTCACATCTGCCACCTGGCCCTAGGCAGGATCTCCTGATCATTTGTGACTGGATCCCTTCCCTGTCTAGAGAAGCCCTCAGATATGCCTCCAAGATGCTTAAAAAGCAGGAAGTAAAGCATGTAGGCTGTAAAGGGATAGTCAATAGCTTATATCCAGGAAAATGCAGACTTTTATTAATGTAGTAAATCACAGGATGGATCAGGGGCTTTAACAAACACCATAACTTAAAATAGGGGGGTGAACAGCACAGGAAGTAAAGTGTCTGCAACCCCGGCAGCGTATTTCAGAAAAAGGTATAATTTTCTTTGAGGACAAAGTCTCTGGGATCAGGAACACTCCCGCACTTTCTTGTTTATAGTCCCACTTACAGAAAATGCCAAGTTTCAATTTGAGTTAATGATGACAAAAATATGATCTTTTCCTCCCTACTCCCTTAAACTCCATCTGCAGACTCTTGGCAGATGTTTAGTCCCTCAGAAGACCTTCAAGCTCTTTTTCAATACAAACCTCAATTTTGTTTATCCATTTGGGGCATAGACCAGATTCCCAGGCCTGCCCTATGACACCAAAGGCATTTCCCAGAAACACAGCCAATGAGAATTGGAAGCACGAGGCAGGCGTGTTGCACCTTACAAACACCCCAGACCTCAGCAGGGCATAACTAGCCACCAGGCCTCTGTTGGAGATAGAAATTTACAGTCCCCTCCCTCCTCCTGCACTCTTCCTCTCTTTGAGGAACATCTTCAGTGAGCCTTGCTGGCTCTCCCTCAGCCATCTCCCATGCTGTGCCTGTCTCCTTGGCTTCCTTGAAATTAACTATGTTGTCTTTGTCATTTACTTTATCTGGGTCAGTGGCTGAATCAGAACACAGAGGCCACCCAGACACTTTGAGTTCTCAGGTCATCATTTTCACACCTATTGGTTTAGCCTCTATTGCCAAATTTCCTGGCACTAAGGAACCAGGAGAAGAAATGTACATGGGTGAGCATCACACAACAACAGATTTTCATGGGCAGACATCACTGAGTCTCCAGAGAACCAGCCCTGGGCTGCAAACACACAGCCCCTTGGAATAGAAGGCTGAGTGCCTTTGTTTGCCAGTGGTTTCTTATTGCACAAATGCCAGTTTCCAGGTACGGGGAAAAAATACCATGCAGGTGGCTAATATGAATGACAGCCAGTGTAGGGAGTGCTGTAAACAGCTTTAGAAGGAATGGTATGGGACACAGTCATTGGGATGTTTGTTTCATGGGCCAGTAAGTAAAATCCTCACTCAGAAGAGAACAGGAAGAGATCTAAAGGCTGAGGAAAGCCATCTGTGTAGGATATGAATGGGGGACAAGTAGGAGAAGAATCTCCAAGCCAGAGAGGCAAAGACTGCAGACTCCTTCCAAACAGGGGGTAGGGGTTGGCTGGAGGGGCTACTAGCTAGGACTCTAAAATCAGACCAGCTCAGGGACAGCTGGGCTCAGAAACTGTGTGGCCTTGGGCAAGACACTTGCCCCCCTGAACTTGTGTTTCCTAATTTGTGACTTGAGCTATTCCCTTGTACCTTTGTTGGACTGTTAAAAGCACAAATATGTAAGGCAGTATGGTGGTGATTAACTCATGCTGGTTTGCTGGTTTGCTTATTCTAGTGAGATGTTTGGAGGGTTTTAAGTTGCTGAGAAATAGCCTGGCAGGTCTTTGGCAGATGATCAGCATTATGTGGGCTACTGGGGGTCAGTAGGACAGTAGAAAGGGAGCCTGGAGGATGTTTACACTAACTGCTCCCCAGTTAGGGGCAGGGCTGGAGGGCCACCACTGAAAGGCAGCAGAATGGCCGTCTGTCCCTCAGGTGTCTCTCAGCCATGCCAGATGAGAGGGAAGGGCAGCCAGCCACACCCTCACCACTGGGAGCCCACTGTTCCCAATTCCTGATCATTGCAGGCTGACATCCCACCACTCACCAGCTTCTGCTTACCAGTGACAATGTCACTTGCATGGGATTCTAAGTGCCTCAAGGACAGCAGCCATTTCCCTTCACTCTCATTACAGTGACCAACGACACAGGCTCCACTCTGGGACCTAGGGGGCTTCTGAATAATTAATTTACTAGGAAAAGAAGGACTGGCTTAAAGCAAGATGCTCCCAGAAGGCTAAAATCAGGGGATCTATATGGTCCTGGGAGATCCTTGATACATCCCTGACCCAGGGCCATCCTTCCTCTGGCTCTCCAAGCAGCACTGTCCTCCATCTGAGAAGCATTCTGGAGGTCACAGATCATGGAGAAGACTCTTCCCCTAGATCTCTCAGACCCTTCTGCCATTTCTGCTCAGGATACACAGCCCATAGCCCTTTCCCAGCTCGAGGGGCCTTTGAGGACCACAGATGAAGGGGACAAGAGACCCTCGGGGTTGCTGAGGCTCAGCTGCTAGGAGTAGGGGTCTTGCATACTCCTCACTGGCCACCCTTAGACCCCAGGCATCCCTACTGCTCCTGCTGTCCAGCTGGGGGACACACAAGGAAAAGATGTCACCTCCCCTCTGGTTATTTCTCAGCTGTTTGCCCTAAGGTTTTTCTTCTGGCAGACCCCACTACCCTTGCCCCCTGATTCTGCAGGCTTTTCCCCCTCGAAGGGTGCCCTAACCCTGCAGGTCCCTATCCCTTCCAAAGCTTACAGCCTCTCCTCCCTATACACCGTCGTCCCCCCACCCTCATTCCTTTCCCAGCCCTTCCAAGCCTTCATCCCCCATTCTCCTTCAAGTCCCTCCCCCATTCTTCCGGGCCACCGCGACCCCTGCTGCAGGTCTGCTGTCCCCCTCCTGGTCTGGCAAAGCGTAAGGTGGCCGGGCCACCACACCTGGCCCACACTCACCTGTTGGGCCGACGGGAGCACGCCCGGCTTCGCCTTTTCAGGATCCGGCTCGCGGTCCCGCGGAAGCAACCCCTTCTTGGGGTGCATGTGCCGGCACAGGCAGGTGACCCCGCACAGAGCAAGGATGCTGGTGGCGGTGCCCAGCGTGGCGCCCAGCGCGATCACAGGCACCGACAGCACCATGGTGCCTGCTTCCCGCGGCTCCCTGGCCTCCCGCCCGGCTCCTGCCCCCAGGGCCCCCCCCAGGGGCCAGCCGGC